CAAATTAGCAAGAAGAAAAATTACACTGTCACACTGCAGAACTTTAATGTATTTTTTCCTAATCTGTGTCACGTATGATTCTAAAATGACAAATTGCATTATTTACTTTCTGTATTATTTCCCCTAAATTGCTGTAGCCTAACACTTTTTTTTAATCACTGGCAAGTAAACTTCTAAGAAAGAAATATATATAGTGTTTTTAACTAATGTCCTGTTTTGGCATCTTTACATCTCAGTTTATGACAAAGGAATAACCTGCCCACATTTGGGATGCAACCAGTTTCAATTATTTTGGTCCTCTTAAGTTGGAAAGTTTCTTCGGCTTAAAGTTTGTGAGACTTACTCTTTTGGAGAAGCAGAACACCTCCGCAAAGCCTCATGATCATTTCTCCAATTATATTCTGATTTGCATGTCACTGTTTAGCTGAAGTTAATTTTTTTCCAACTTCTGATTTGCATCAAAAATAGTTTGCTATTGTTTCCTTACACTTTAACTCTCTAAAGCAGCTATACATTACTAGCCAGCCATGTCTGATGGAAGAAAGAAATAACACTCCGATCAAGTTGTTTCTTTTTTTTTTATGGATAGCTTGACACATATGCCAGCTTGTAGTGATGTTAACAGAGGAAAGTTTTTTCTAGGTGTAAGGGTTTTTTGCAGTTGCTTTCAGTAGAAGAGAATCTGCATGAATGAGTCAAAAGTTCAGTGAGATCTTGCCAGAAGGAACCCTATGCCACATAATGCCATTTACACCAATATACCTCCACCCATGTTTCCAGTTGCAGGTTGGAGATTGCTGTTCACGACTCCCGAAAGCCTTCCTGTGGCCAACAGCTGATAGAAGCCTTAATCCAGGTAAGGAAAGTCTCTTCTTCTGGGGCTGCAGAACCAGGTCTTCATCAATTCTTGGGGAAAGTATGTCATTTACTATGGAAACCAGAATTTCCCTTTACATTTGTAATGGTCCCAGCCCCATGGTTAAAAAGTGAGTTTCGGTCTACCCTCTTAAATCCAAGAAAATTCTTAATTCTGAGAGAATTAAGTTTGTTTATCATTCCGTATAACTACGTTTTGAGGAGATTTCCAATGAAACTGCAACATTAATACTTTTTGACAAAGCTTCATGCTAGTATTGATTTTCAAGGCCAAGAAAAAATAGGATGACTTAATAAAACATCCACTCTTGAGGATGCAGTTCTCCAATAATAAAAATACTAAAAGAGCAGAAATGAGCACCAGTGATGTGTTGACTTCCCAACTCATGGCTAGCATTTATAAGGGTGGGAATTTAAGTTCTAGTAAGATTCCTCCTTTGCAGCCACAGTAAACTCTCTGTCAGAGAGAGGTTTTCTAGGAGTAGATCTGCAGAAACTTTACACAGCTGGGAGAAGACCTAGTTTCTCTGGTCAAAGATGCCCATTTTGTAATGGTAGAAATCTCTTTACATGGCTGGGACAGTTAATGACATGGAGTTTTCTCCCTGCAATGTTTTTTTGAGAAGCATAGGTGTGTGGGGAGGAAATCTTTCATTAGACATTTAAAGATGCATCTAAGAAAAAGATAATTCACTGACTGAAAAAACACAGAGTAGTGGGCCAAACATCTACTACAAAGTCCTGAGCCATTGATGTGATAACTGAGTAATTTACTTTTCCTGTCCAACTGTAGCAGTTCAATGAAGCCACGCTAATTCAAGGACCAAAGTCCTTGAGGATCAAGTGGAAAGTTTCCCATTGACTTTAAAGTCAATGCGTGAAGGCAAGTCTCTACTATCCAATGACCTCCAAATTTTGCCAAGCACAGAGCTTCCCAGATGCCCCCAATTGCTGTTTGCTATTTTAATGTAGCTATTTAACACTAACGCTAGTGGGGCTTAAAATCTTGAGTTGCGTTTTAATTTCTTGTCTGAAGTTTCTTTTTCGGTAAGCTTAGAAAATTACCCATGCAACCTCATATCAAATTCTAGTCATAGCTGCTAACTTCACATGCTGTTACCAACCTCATCACATTCTTGGTGCAAAGACTAGAAAGCAAGAAAAGTTCCAAGAACAGGTAACACATTAAATGCGTGTATCAAAACACAATCTTTAACAAAATAAATACTATTTTCACTTTTAACTTAAAAACCTGAACACAAAACACTAATTTTGACATCGGTTAGCCTCTAGTTCAATTACATATATATTTCTACCATAACTTAGTGTTTTACATAATTTTGTCATTGCATTAGTTAAAAACATTCTCAGAAACAGCAATTTTGTTAGTGCTTTTCTTAGCTGGTATGTCTAACTAATATTAATCAACCTGTAATATATTTATAGCAAAATCAAGACAAAGCACGGAGGCGTCACACACACCTTAACGTTCCCTTTAAATATCTTAAGTTCATTAATACTTTAATTCACTAGTACTAATAACTTTTGCTATTCTAATAGCATCTCTCTGCATTACATTGGCATTAACAAATGCAGAATTGGTATTTCTGCACCATATTCAGCATGTGCAGGAATGAGACTAGAAGTGTCCCAGATGTTTTCCTTCCCTTTCAGGCCCTGTAGAAACATTCTACAAACTATGGCTCATACACATTTATGCACACAGCTACTGCCAGCCTCCTATTTTGAGGCATGAAAGTTGTTACTTTTTATTCCAATATTCATGTAGTTTTTCCAGGGAGGAACTTTCACGAACAGTGTTCAGTCAAGTCATTTCATATTTGAGACCTCAGTGAAGTTAGATACCTATCCTGAAGTCTAGATGTTCCAAGAACACTTCAGTGATGTAAAAAACACTTAGCATTCATGATCTTGTATTTCAAGCCTCTTTCTAATAGGGCTTTTAGTGAGTAACAAGCACATGGCAATGCTTCTTAGTTTGTGGGGCATTTGTCTGGGTTGTTTCTTTCTGTTAGAAAAGGAAAGCCACAAATCCAGGCTGTGAACAGCCATACTGAATGATATAAGCCTTAAAAAAATTATTTACAATGTTGCATTTGTTACATCTATTTAAATTGCCCTATCACAAATGCCAAATACCTGTATATAATTAATTATACCAGATGGACTTCTACCTCAGTAAGTCTTCACTAATAGCCTTGCATTATTCTTGTTTAAACATTTACCAATGAAACCTGTGTACTTTACTGGACACTGAATTATGATCCTTTTCAGAAATTATCCTTTTAAAACAAAAGCGGTAATTGAAGCTTAAGAGGAAAATCATGTAATGGAAATGTCCTTCAATCCCCTTTTAATTAACAGCACTGTGCATAAATACAAGCTGAGCTACTCATTTCCTCAAGACAATGCCTCTCAAAGTATAAGATGTTTTCTCCCAGAAAATCTCTCAAGTGCTTCTGGCTTGTGCTACTTCAGACCACTTCTATCCTATTGCCTTCCTAGTTAGTTCATAGGACACCTGGCTTTTTTTTTTTTTTTTTTTAAATTGATGGTTTTGAGATTAACATTTTGAACCTCATGCTTTGCACATGCAGACCTCTACATCCACACAAAGTCCAGAAATCTGTTTATAGTAGTCTACAGATATCATTTGCAGTATCACATTGAAAGGAATACAAGACAGGACACACGGACTTCCAAATAAACTGTCCAAACTTACTGAGCACACTAAGAGAAGAACTGCTTTACTCGAGTATTACTGTCTTTGGTCAAGAACGCACTTGGGGTCTTTTGCATTTTTAACCTTAAGTCACATGAAAAAGACTCCCGAGTCAAATAGCTCTTTAGTTTTGCATAACCATGACATTAACTTGTAGTAATAAAGCATTCTCATTTTAGCTTTCAGCTGGAAAATGTTTATGGGCCTTTGACATGCATACTCACATGAGCCGTCCTGTAGATTTGAGGCAGCGAAGTTAGGTACCTACATATATACAAGCAAGTTCTCTTGTTAGTTGGATTGACGGAATTGCTATTTATTCAAAGAGTTTATCACAAACAAAAATGTGTACATTCATACCAGTCACTGAAAAAGTTTCTAGAGATCTGCAACAATTATTTGAATTTAATAAACTTGTCAATGTATTGAACTTTTACTTTCAAATATATATTTTTAGATAGTCAATGACAAGAGAACCTTCATTTTAGCACCTAATTCAATTTAGTCCATATTCTGCATTGCATGATGCAGTACAACTCTGTAAGGACAGTAACCATCCACTGCACATCATTCAGCTTGCAGTACTGTAGGTATACTGGATTCGTTCATATCATTTAGTCTTTCACACTAACATTTCCCAACCAGTTTTGCAGACTGCTACCCAATCTGCATTTTGGTGAACTAAATTGTTTATTTTTCCTTCATAAATGGTTAGGTTACTGCTAATTGCTAAACAGCTTTTGGGCTGATAATTGAGTTTTGCTTTGCAGTGTATTGAAAAATGGACTATTGAGGTTCTTCTGAACAAACTAACACACTGCCTCTCCTAAATGAGTAAGCTTCACATTTTTAGGAAAACAAACAGAATATCTGCAAAACAGAGCAGTAGTTTTTAGTGCACCAGAGAATGCTTTCCCTGATGAAGATTTGAGAAATCGCAACGATCACTCTCTTACCACCTGAGAGCACATTTCTCTCTTTCACAGTGTCAGCAGTAAGGGATGAGCACTGCAGTCAAAATTCCAATCAAGTTCCTGCAAGTGCTGTTTCCTAATAGCTGTCCCCAGCCTGCTCCTTTTTTTGGGCCCTAGAAATTGCCCTTTGGGGATACCTGTTTTTTCCATGGACTAGACACAGTGGCTTAGAGTGGAATCCAGGCTGTTTGCTAGTAGCCCTTGAAGCTCGGTTTTCTCAGAGGCAACAGAAGTAAGGGAATATGGCATACGTTCAAGTTCAGAAGCTGAAAAGGAAATAAACCTTACAAAACTACATATACAGCATTTCACACAATGATGTAATGAGAAAGTAAACATGGTTCTTGCATAAAGACCACAGACTGGATAGCATTGTTTGAGACTTTTTAATATTCAGGAGATTAAGTACATATAAAAAGTGTCAATCATTCAGCAGTAAAAAAAAAGGAATTCTTAGGCATTATCAGCAAAACATCACCAGTATCTATTACCAGCAAGCGTATGTCAGGTCATTATTATTTGAATAATGAAATGTTACTTCTTTCGCATCAAATGGCACTTTCAGATACACATACAATGTGATTACCTCACTGACAAGTGTTCGAGACAAAATACAACCCTGTAAAATTCTTAAGTATAACTTAATCAAGGTATTGCTATACAGCACCTCCGCAAGATGCATACAGTATACAAAACAAATTTTGAAATAAGTTCTAGGTGTCTCTAGTGTGTATAAGGGAAAACAAAAATTTAGTCCATCTTTCTCTTTTTTCCTTTAGCAGGAGTTTTGGAGGTATGTTCATTTTCAGCCTTTGGTTCCCAGAGTGCATTTCTTACAAATCTAGAAGCAGCTCCTTTATCGAGTTTGGATGCCTTTTTCTTGTCTGCTATTTCTTTGACCTTGTTCATGTATGTTCTTATTCTCTCCTAGGGGGAGGGGGGGAAAAAAAAAAGTGTATTTCACATCATTCTCCCAAGATTGCTGCTAAAATAAAACCAATGAGTAGAAACTCTCCACATTGTACATTTCTATAACTATAATACCTAGAAAAATAGCATCATTTAAATATATATACCAGGCTCTTTGCAAACTTGAGGCTTCCCCTTTAGCAGATTTTCCATTACAGGTACCTACCGTACTAGTATCTGCATGACATCCACTGTCATAGGAACATGAAGTCCTACAGAGATGAAGACTCTGCATCTAATTTACAGTGAGACAAAAATTGTTCTTGCAAGCAAAGTTAGAAAACAAAAGACTGAACTCGATTTGGAGTTTGGCCTACATAAAGACGGCAAAATAATATTTAGATATTTGACATATTTATAGATGAATTATGCTGTCTGGCTACTGTCTTTAAAAAAAAAAAAAAAAAGAACAGAAAATTCAGCATGTCCAAGCAGAGCCAAAAAGCATCTTACACAAAATCCAAGATGTTACATTACACACGCAACTACACAGAAGTCCTGTGGTTAAGATCCTGAAGTGATCAAGAGGAATGAACCTATTTAAGGCAGCTGTACCAGAGGCTCCTTTTACGACCATAAGTAACAAAAAGCCTGTTTCCACTGCCATTCCGTAAAGTAAGGGGATCCTTTCTTGCCATCTTAGCCTACCATAGTCATTTGGTATCTAGAGCTTTTTTTTGAACAAAGCATAGCTTGGATTCAGCCCCACCACATTCAGCTTAACAATCTCATTTATGTGCCCACTCATCCTCATCTACTTCTGCAATCAATACAGAAAATTACTTTGAGAGGGTAACTAAACCCCTCTAAGATGGGAATCACCCTCTGTTAAGTGCCTGCTTCTCTTCACTGACTAGAGAGGACACTTACAGTAATTCTGTAAAATACATAAAAGTTTCGTTGGTAGATTTAATGTCTACATATTTAGCCAAATATGGCCTTCCACTCTAGGGCCTTTAGGTGTTACTGTAATACAAACAACAGTAAGAGAGAGAGAGAGAGAGAGAGAGAGCGCACTCTACCTGATACCCAAATGATAAATGCGAATTAACAGAACATTTATGGATACTGCTAACTAAATAAATGTTGATATAATGTACCCACACATTTCTCACGCAGCCATTGACAGCTTTTTGAATCTGGAACAAAAGTTACGAGACCTACACTACTGAACTGATTCTCAATTCTTCAATGACCATTATAAGCAATTGATTTGTCAAAAAGTTGGCCACTCTTGCCATATCAAAAACATAGCTTTAATGAGGGCAGCTTTACAGGGTCTGAAATCATGATAAGACTGTAATATTTCTTTGGTGACTGAGATGGCTAATGAGAACAGATGGCAAACCTACACATATCAACATGGGAAAAAGGAGCTGACAAATGTCAACGTGACAAAAGAAATGAACTTTGATAGCTTGAATGTGAGTTTTATTAATACAGTTTGAATCCCCATGTATTCCCTGTATGTACACAATGAGAGCAATTCTAAAAACAAAACAATCATGACAAAGTCTTTTTTAATTCCCTTTCCACATGAGTAAGAACATCACAATGCTCTTGGAAGGAAGGAATGTGCATTCATTCACCTTGATACTTGTAAAAGGCAAAGAGAACTGGATAAGAATCTAGCCTATGATAATTCACTCATTCTTCAGAGTTAAAACGACTGGCAATTGTGAAGTAAAATACCAGCATAAAACATCCACAGCAGAAGAGAAAATTTATTTTTCAGTATCACTAAATTAACACAATATTCAGGCACTATATAATATAGGAGGAACAAGAAACTGACTGAAAGCTCATGAAATATTAACTGATCCATTTTTTAATATGATACAGTCTAGACTACAGAAAACCTCACAAAATTAAAAATAGAAGTATTCTTGTTATTCAGGCTAGCTTTCCACATTTTTCAGTCTTATCTTCTGTTCCGCTGGTTATGTAAGGATTACATTTAAGCTAAGTTTTATGATTGCCCAGATTTAATATTTTCATTTATACAGGAATTAAAACGGGTAGGTAGAAGTTCTGATTTCTATTTTTTCTTCAGGCTAAATGATTTGATTTTTTAAGTCAGCAGAATTTTCAAGATAGCCAGTCTTCTATGCTGTAGTCATGCATCTAAATGGAATATAAAGACAAACCTAAAAGATTTATTATAGGTTGTAAATATGTCACTAATGCAGAATTACTGGACAATACACATACAACTGGTGCCAAAAAAGCTTTTAGCTTTGTTGCTGAACTGGATTCTTTACTGCTGAGAAAATGAATTAATGGCGGACTTGGAAGGGGGAGGGGGGCTCTTTCCCGTCTTCGCTAGTAAATCAACCACACTGTAGAGTCATACAAAAGTAAGAAAAGGCAGCCTCAGAGATTAACATGATTCCAAGTATTTATAAGAAAAAAATGCCATACTGGAAGTTATAAATTATTATCAGACATGTAACATTTTCCCATTTAACAGATACAAGTGAAAAGCTGCTCTGTTCACAATCCAGTTCTCAAACAAAGGTGGAAAAAAGAAAAGATAAGATGACACCATTCATCTTCATGTTCTTTTCTAATTTCAGCAGACTCTACAACTTCGCTTTAAACAGTACTGTATGACTTTCTTAATTTAGAGAGCCCAGCAGGGCATATAAACAGTTATATATGCTGCTACATGCTACATATGCATATGCTACATACGCATGCTATTATTGCAACATATCAATTTTAAACGTAGATAGCAACATTTTTTACTTCTGTATGAGTTAACTGTTCTGGGCAAGTTAGGTATCGCAGTGCATGCAGTGTAAGAATCTTACCAGTTCTTGTTTCACTGGATGTTCCTTTGGATTGATTCCCTGAGTAGCCAAGTATACTACAAGAAAAAAACATGGTTTTCTTGAAACTGAAGGCTGTCATGACTGAGGACCCCATCAATGAGTCTCATAGGAAAACTACAGTTTCCACATAAAACCATTAATAAGAATTGGAGTTAACTCTGTTGTTAAGTATCTGACAAACTATTATCACCAAATACTGCAGCTAAAAAAAAAAAAAAAATTAACATTTTCTATCCTTAAAAGGACAGAAAAGGTTGCCACGAAAAAACAGAAAGAAACATCCTCATGCATGTACAAAGTCAGCTTTTGTAAATATCAATTTCTGATTTGGAGTTTCAACACCATTTATCCTATGGATGGCAATAATTTGGGTCCTCAACGTAATTACAAGTTTCTAATTCTTTGGCTATGAAATATGATTATTTAATGTTTGCAGCTGTCTAGAAGGTGTTCAAATGGCAATCATAAACACTTTTTCATCCTACCGCATACTTACCCCAGAACATTGAATTTAACGTGTACACCGAAACCAAATCCATCTTTGCTTGCTCAAGAGGCTCTAACTAGAATGAAAAAAACAGACCACATTTGCACATTTTTAAGCAAGATGCACACAGATTTTAGTAATATGCACATTTTATAATTGTGAATGTATTCATAAAAAAATACACGGTGAATGAGCACATTTTTGCACAAGTCCAGTGAGACCATGTCTATGCCTACTTCCATGCCACCACAGAACCATTCTCTCCTCTGCAAGTATTCATGTCATTTTCCCAGACTGATGTTAAATGCCACAGTCCCATACAGCCAAAAGCACAAAAATCTCCTGACACGTAGCTCTTAGACTACTGTTCCCATAGTCAGAAATAAGTCCCTATTTTTCCACAGAAACTTAATTCAAAATAGTTGTTGCTATCAATGGAAGAAAAAAAGTCTTAAGATTGCTGAAGCTCAAATGTGAATATAGTACGCTACAGACAATCAATGAACATTAACACTAAATATGGTAGACTGTGTATTCAATGCATGCTGGAATACTTAGGGCTGTAAAGCAAAGGAAGAATAAAGGTAATGAGGGTTTTTTTTCCCCCCCTCGACTGTCAAAGTCAATTTATTATTTTAGTCCTGTAGGATTTCCAGAAACTCCGATAACATCATTGTACAGCTCACTAGTTCTAACATGGATACTGTCAAAAGATCGGTGTTGTCAAGACTGTTTTCTTCATAATTTATTTGTGTTAGAAATCCTCAGAGGATAAAAAAGTTTCCTCATGTGCTGGCTTTTCCTTGCCCTAAAGAAAGAAATTACATGTTAGGCTTTAAACGTTAAAAGATAGAAAGGCTTGTATGAAGTCTTCAGGCAGTACCTTGCCCTGTCTTTATGCCCTGAAAAAAACCCACATTTTACAGACTTGTGCTTATAATATAGCTAGAGGAAACAGCTCGGTTTTTCAAGCATCAGGTTCTGCAAGTCTAGACTTCTAGAATCAGATCAATTCTCACTGCTGTCAATTCACCTTTACATCCTTCTGGGTATACCAAGTTCCGTTAAGTTTGTTGTGAAAAGGTCTCAGACAAAAACATGAATGACCTCTTTTTTATGAAAGAACACTCAGCATCCATTTTAAGGAAGGTCAGGAATAAGCTAGAATGTCCTCTACCTAAATGACTCACTGGTGCCATCATCACTTTTCAGCTTGGAAGAGCATATATTTCATTGTTCAGTTTGTAAGACTGTCTGGATAGCTTAGAAATGTAAGAATTTCAAATATTAGGTATCAAGGGTAGGAAGTGTTGTATTTGTAATTTCTCTGTGCAGTGGCTAGCCTAACAGACCCTTTTATTTCAGTTCGGGTTCCCAGGTATTGTTGTGTTAATAACAAAAAGGTTGTCAAAAGGAAAATTATCTACCTTTTGGAGAAGCTCACTCCTGGAAACTGACATCATTGTCTTCAGCATCTCATCTACAGAACCAAGAGATTTTTCAAATGCTGCAAGATAATCATGAATTTCAGTGGGGTATTCTTCCGTATTAATATCATCTTCTGACATTTCCATCTGGAAAGAGGAAACAAAACTAATAATCCTTTTCATTAAGTCCCTACAGAGTCAAAAGACTGTATTTTACAATACAAAGCATTAGCATTCATTCATGTAACATTGTAAGAAATGCCTACTTCTGAAGAGTTCTAGCAGGTAATGTCAATAGTGACACAGTTAAAGGTCCTATAATTTCAGGGATATCTCCTAACTGCTGTGCAAAATGGCATGAAGGAGCATTACAAATGACATGACTGTAGTACCTATTCTTGTAACAGTCCCAAACCAACATTTAGCTTTTATGGTCTGTGATAGAAAGAAATTATTTGCTTGTTTAAAAGAAGTGCTCTATAAATCACAGTATATAAAGAGCTACAACAAGCAACAGGCAGGACACTAAAAAAAAAAAAAAAACAACAAAAAAAACCCCCAAAACCAACACCAAACCAAACGAGGGATATAGCTTCAGCCTGTCTTAGGAACAGACATTACTTCAGCTTTAAAGCGGTTATGCAGCACCAGTTATGTCAGGGTCAGTTACATCTTCCAATGCTAAATTGAGGAGCCAGTCCAAGAAATTCTTGTCGTGAACCCTGTATCCAGTTTTCTGAATTCTCTATGGGGCATTATAATCTGCGGTATAACTCTTTAACAAAGCCGAGCTGATTTGGGGATTTCAGAATACTCTGGAAATCTTGTACATGCATCTACGCACAGCAACTCTGAGATAAGCAAAGATGTGAAAAATCCCAAAGCACTCCCTTTTTTGATCCCAGTATTCATGGTAACATAGCATAGCTACTGCCAAGCCATCTGGGTGCTGGCTTACAATCACTATCTTTAATTCCTCTCAAATCATAAATCACAATTCTCTTGGGGAGTTAATGTTACTTAAAGCTATGTTACTTTCTACAACTTCTACTGATTGAGCAACAATTTTTCAAATGTTACAAGGAAAGAGAGGAAGAAATATATTATTTTCCTGCCCATTTGGTGAGCTGCATCAAGAACAGTGGATCACTGCAGTCCTTCCTACTTAGGATCAGTGTGATAATCCCACTACCGAGCTGCTGAGTACAGAGGGCGAGAACGTAAGTTGGAGAAACTGCACTTTGAAAATTTGATCTATGAACACCAAGCCACACAGCCAGTGCAAACAGCAAGGAAACAGCAAACAGCTGTCACATCACTGGAGTTTGTTTTAGATAAAGATTTGATCTTTTCCTGGCAAGAGTGTGGTATGTGTGAGAGAGGTTTCTTTTTATTTATGTTGTCTCCTGGAGGTCAAACAGGAGAAAGATTGGGAGGAAAAACAGCGTGGAGCTACTCAAGCTTGTCTGCAACTCCAGTTTTAACCGCACCAGCATGATTCCAGAAATACGATCAGCCAGTTAACAAGCCCAGTTTCAGTGCTTTTGTTTGCATAGTTTAGAATTATAATCCTACTCAGCTGCATGACTTTTCATCCTGGTCAGAGCTGGTTTTCAGATTGAGTACAGAATCACAATGCTAACCATGACATGTTGAAGGTCCCCTCCCTACCCCAGCATGTAACTCACACATGTAAATACTGTTTCAGTCAGCTGCAGCAGACCTAAGCAAGAAAGCTGAGCTGGACTTCCAAGATGCTGCCTACAGAAAGGCAAAATACCAATACAATTATTTCTGCCATTTACGATACTATTGTTTGTGTTTCGTTCTGTCCTGGCCACCTGCATTATTATCACCCTTGTTAGGTTGATTAAAAGAGTCTAGAAACACTGTTTGTTGTTAACTTTTAGTCATATAATACAGCACAAAAAATACTCAAACGTACAGAAGAAACTAGATTTTCCCACCTGTTAGTACAGTTAAGCCCGCTTAGGAGATATCTGTCAGTACACATTTACACATACAGGGAGAGAGGTGTAATCCAATCCAACAATCATCTACAGAGTTTACCACCACTACAATACTTAATCTACTACGGTCTTAATTTGATGGACATGCATGAACATACCAATAAATTCCAACTTTTCTCTCTCTCTTTATCAGGGCATCCAGGACCAGCAACTGCAGGAAAAAAAACCAATCACCAACAAACTCCTGTAGCAATCAAAACTAACTCAAGCTATTTTACAGCAGTTGCAGGGATAAACAGTTACTATAGCATCTATGATATTCTTTCCAATATCCCAAGCTAGACCTAAAGAATGAGACAGAGAAAGAATAGGAAAATAGAAGGAAAGATAACAGATAACAGTCCAAAATGTATTTTTCTACGATTGCTGTCTCATGAACCAGAAAGAATTAAGTTTGCCCTCGTATCATGAAGTATTTACTTGACACTGTCAATTAGCATGGAAAAAAAACACATCAGCCTGTGGATGATGGAACAAGGCTGCGTTTTAGCCCGTGTACAGTACCCTTCAATGATAAGTCCGCTCCTTCTGCCCAGGGAGGGGGAAGAATTTGTTAACTTGTGTATTCTGTTCATTTCAACAGGAATTAGCAAGTTCCTAGTCCTGCTGCGTAGGGACCTCTCTCTTTTCATTAGACGGTTGTTTCAGCATTACTAATCTCTAAGCAGTATATGTTACAGTGTTGGCACATGCCAACAAGTAAGGCAGCAGTCAACAGCCTAAAATAGTTTTGATAACATTAAATCAACAAGAGCAAACTTACACTACATTAGAAAACGTGTACACCGGAAACTCCACAAAATTGTTTCTGCCAAAATCAACACACAGACTGCACTCACACCTGCAGAATGACAAAGCCAAGGATGGGAGGAACTAAGACCACATTAGTGATTCTCTAAACATACCTAAAGGCTATACTGCCCTCAATAGTTATGTTTCTGTTATTAAACCACAAACAATTTTCCTAATTGTTTTACAATTTTTCCTAAATTTTCTAAATTTTCCTAAAAGTTTTACAAGTTTCTCTATATATTTTGAACAAGAAGAAATTTAGTTCACTTCCTGAAGTTGATGTTTACTACACAGGTTTTCTCTATTGGATTTGCTAACTTTCAACCAAATTTTATTGGCACAGAGATTCCACTTAAAAAAATGAAGGACAGTACAAATATTCAGATAAGAGAAGTTATGAAAATACTTGCTGGGTAAGCATGTGAATAATGGGGAAGCCTAAGGGAAATAAAGATAAGACAGCATTTTCATTATCAAGTAGTAACACTTATGACGAAGAACACATAATCTGTGGTTGTGTGCATGATGATAATACTTTATAATATCGTTAATTTTGAGAATGCAAAGGATAGTTCACAACCCATAAACATAAAATAGAAGAGAAAAGGCCTACTTTGATTAAGGACACTGAGGCAAACAAATAGTGATGAAAAATGTGGTATGACTTCATAACATCATTCTACCAGAAACAACTTTCCCTTTTAACCCTGAGCTCAAAGACTCACATGTAGTTTTTGGGAAAACAGCATAAAAGAAAAATATATTTCAGGAAGAAAAAGACTTTAAATCACAACAGTAAAACATTTTCATGACAAAACTTATTCATTGCATTTAAGCCTGATAAAAAATTGTCTTCTGAGTTTCCACAGGTGGAAAATTTCTGAATCTTCTGAAATTTCTGAAAAATTCTGAATAAATTCTCATTTATTCAGAAACATGACTACATTTATGTAAACTTCCGTTTAGAAGTTTACATAGAAGAAGTCTCTCCAGTCAACATAGTATAAATCAGAGCAAGTAATACACTCAACCTGCAAAAAGGGAGGAGAGGGAAATATCAGACATTATGAACCACAGAAAAGGCACAACTAGGAGAAAGCAAGAGAAAATACGTCATCTTCTGCAGACTCTATAAAAAAAACTAAACGGGTGACAATCAGAAGCAGTTTGCCGAAGTGCTAATGTGGCTATTGATCTAAGATCCAACTGAGTTCAATGCTATATTAAAGTAGTTTAAATAAAAACAAACAAAATGCAGATGATTGTGCACAATACAACTAGCAAAATCGTCCATCTCCACATTTGTCTTTCAGGAGAACGAAGAGAACTCTGCAGACTCCTTTCAAGAAAAGCACACCCTTGACTGGCACACAAAGGTAAGAAAAGGAAAAAGGGAAATTGCAGTCAATTTGCAGGTGGCTTATGAATAATCTTTGAATATATCTGGTGTTTTAACACAAGCCTTAGAAAGTAATTGCCAGCTGGCTTAAAAAGCAAAACCAAACCTCCCTTCCTGCCCACCCCCACAGCAAAACTGTATCTGTCATACTGAAAGATATAAACTAATTAGGCCCCGGGTACCTCTATGAGAGATTTTGCTGAAGATGGATGGTGAAAGTAATGGAAGCTACAGCCATACATCAACGTGGCAGTAGGAAACCCCAAAAGACAGAATTAAAAAAATTCTCAGTGTCATGCACATGGTTATCAAATGGAATTAAAACTGCCAAGTTCAGGATAAAAAGGGTGTATTTCAAATATTTTGTAACACGCAAACAGAAGACACAAAAGTAATTTAGCATCCTTCGTTCTGCTTAATATGGCACCTCACTTTACACTTCATATTAATTCTTAACCTATTTCTTAAGCACTAGAAGGCCTCATCTTCATGCTGAGCTCAGATCTTTAATTTTTTCAGATTATTCATTTAACAAAAATCAGATTAGACTTTCCTCCTTTTCATGGATACTTACAGATTATATAAAGAAAACCAAAACATACCTAAAACTTTTTGGTCAGGGCTTACAAAAATGCTCTCAAATTCAAAACAAACGCATCAGCAACATCAATATGACAAACCATCTTTGTCAGCTCCTAAAAACTGACACTGTCCTCCCTCTCGTGAGTTCTGACTCACAACCTGCAGTGAATGTAGCTGATGTGCAAGCATCTAATACTGCAGTTCACTGCTGTGGCTATGGGATAACAACAAGGAACAAGCATCTTAAATTTAAAGCTACCAGATACCGTGACTAAGTTCTTTGATCACAAACCTTTTGGGTAGAGAAATCCACTTTATTCCATGTTTGCAAAGCTCTAAGTACGATAG